AAAAAAAAAACTGAAAAGTAAACTGAAACTGATATCACTGTATATGATTATTTGTGTCTATATGGGGTTTGATTTATTTCAACTGACATAAAGTCCATATTAGCATAATAGTTGATAAGTATATGAAGTCAAGAGTTTGATATAAGATAGATGTTATATTTATATTCAGTTATAGTTAGTCTCTGTTGTTAAAAAATAGCTATTATTCATCGATGAACAATATAAATTTTAATTCAAAACAATATAATAGATAAAAAAGCTGAAATATATATATTTGTTCAAATAGACTTCTAACCTAGTACAATACTTTACAAAAAAAAATAATATTGTTTTTAATCCGCTATTTTAAGAACTAATTTTCCTTGTGCTTTTCCACTTTTAGATTTTTCATAAAGTGAATATAATGCTTCAACACCATCTTTTTGTAAATCAAATACAGTATCAATAATTGGTTTAACTTTTCCTGTTTCAATATAAGTTATTCTTATATCATCAAGATCTTCAGGAGTTTGACTAAGAACATGCATTATATATCCATGATGTTCGGAACTAAAAACTGACCAAAATTTACGATTTATAATACTCGAACCAACAGTAGCAATGTTTTTTAATGACATTTCGGTTTTTGTATCATCCCCGACAATAGTAATAAATTGACCACCTTGTTTTAATATTTTTTGTGCTGATATCCATTGTTGTTCACCACCAACACAATCAAAAACAACATCATATTCTTTACCTTTGAGTTCTTCTCCGAAATCTTTTGTATTATAATCAATAACAAATAATTGCCGTTGATCATCATTAATTATTTCTTCCTGTACTTGCGTGATTTTATAACCTAAAAGAACAAAAAAAAATGCAATAATCACTTATATCAAATAAAATATTACAAACCAAGTTTTTCAAGAAGACTAAAATTTCTTTGTGAACATGTTGTTGCTACTTTAGCACCAACACTTACAGCTAATTGTATAGCAAATAAACCAGTTGCTGAACTACCACCACATATGAAAACTCGACTTCCTGTACTCACTGGAGGTGAAGCTTTATTAAATAATGCTTGATAACTTGTTTCACAAGCTAATGGTACAGCAGCTGCTTCATCCATTGTTAAACTTTTTGGTTTCAATGCAAACATCGATTCATCTCCACGAACATATTCAGCATAACTACCACCATTAACTCCAACATTTCCATAAACTTTATCACCGATTAGAAAACGTTTTACTTCTGAACCAATATCGACAATAACACCAGCAACATCAGAACCTGGTGTATGAGGAAATGTATAACGACTAACAAATGATAAATTTCCATTTAATAATTTCCAATCTATTGGATTAATTGAAACTGAATTAACTTGAACAAGAATTTGCGTAGATGATAGTTCTCGAGGTACTGGAACATTCTCGCGAAGTGTAAGCACATTACGTGGCTCTCCATAATCACTCTGTTGAGCAGCTTTCATAAACGTTGGAATATTACCAGTATAGTCAATCATATTAGTAGATATAATACTGTATAGCAAATACTAAAAATAAATGTTATTTTGCTTGTGTAACGATGTTTATATACATAAAGCAAAAGGTCGATAGGTGTACTTTTCTTTCAAGGTTTTTTTTTCGAAACAAAAATACCTCTTACCCTAATAAATTAACTATGAACGTACTTTTTGATAGATAAATTTTATTTTCCGTCTAAACTATTGTAATTAGGTGAATATAAGAAATTTTCATAATACATGTAAAATAAAGATTAGTTTAATTCATGTCTAAATTATTATTACATATGGTTATCATATTCTAGAAGATTGCATGATCGTCTTTTCGGACTAATATAACTAATTCGAAACAAGAATACATATACGAAAAAACTTTATGCTAGATTAAAATAAATATTTCATCATAGGAGATTTTTTCTTTCGAAAAAGTTTAAGATAAAAAAAAGGTATACTTATCAACCCTCATTTTCTATATTTATCGCACGTTGCAAACACACGAGTGATAGGTAAATGAAAGAGAATACGCAAAGTATCATACATATATTTATCGATATAATCAGTGTCTATTATAAAAATAAAAACCTATAAGTATATAAAAAACACATTTATCATTAATGACATAAGTACGACTATAGGTTTCAAACTAGTCAATCTATCTTATGTATTACTCTGATTTATCTATGTAAACATATAAAAAAAGAAGAAAAAATCAATTGAAAGTATCATTCCTTGAATAAACTAGGTATATTTTATAGCAAAGAATCTATTGTAATCATCAGATTTTTCTCATTCGTGTCACCATCTTTGATTATGATTTCTTATTCGCTATTCAAAATACCTGTCAGACATTGATTTCATAGAAATAATATTATTATTATAAAATATGAAAAATGAGTAATCATACAATAACACATAATTTAGAAGTGATAGCTAAAAGTAAACGAGGAAGTCTTATAATTTTCTCTGATAAATCTGATATTGAACAAATTCCATGTAGTTCATTTCTTGTAGAATTTACAATCAAGTTCGGATCAAAGTAAACAGAAACTTTATGTTTGCAGATGTAGATTATACATACATTTAGTATTTTAAACTGGGCAGGTCTTTGTTGGCATGAAACACATGCTGAATAGTTACGAGTATCATCAGGAAAAGCATTTGTTACAGTAAATGATATAACTTCAATAATTGATTCTACCTTTGGTGAGATTTGTGTACCTGTTGGTGTTGTACATGAATAGGGAATTACAGAAAATAATGATGAAAAGAAGAAGATTTGGTAATATGGGAAAGAAATATAATTGATTCATCACTTGGTAATCCATTTTCACTTGAAAGTGTTCATCATCATTTATCCATTACAAGCATTAATTACATCTCGAGCACTTGATAATTATCCCGTTGTTTGGAATAGATCTGGCAGACGATATATAACTTATACTATACTTACTATAGTAAATTTAATTGGAAGAATATTTTTCAATTCAAAACCTATTTATATAGAATATACTCCACAAAGATTATGGAATAGATATGTTGATATTTTTGCATTTGAATTAGTTTTCTATATAGTATATACTATTGCACGATTAAAAATAAATAAGAAGATGATCGTTTTCTTTTTCCTATATTTGAATTTTCTCTATTTTAGCTTATTACAAACTCTCCAAGAGTTAATATAAATTTCAAAATGGCTTCTGATGATTCTACAAAAACCACAACTGAAGAAGATTTTACTCACGATAATTATGGTATTTTGCCATTAATTCAATCGAAAGAAAAATGCGATCATGAATTATTTCCTGTCTGTGATATAAATGAAACATTAACTAAACAAACAATATGGGTTCGTGGTCGTCTTCATACAAGTCGTGGTAATAAAAGCAAACAATGTTTTATAGTTATTCGTCACCAATCAGCTACAATTCAAGCATTCATTTGTGTTAATGAAAATGTTAGTAAAGCAATGTTTAAATTTGCTGCATCGTAAGATTATAACTAATTAAATGAAAAAATCTCTTAAAAATATTTTCTTTTTAAAATTAGTATTCCAAAAGAGAGTATTATTGATATTGAAGGTGAAGTTTCTTTAGCTCCAGTACCAATCCAATCGTGTACACAAAAAAATGTTGAATTACAAGTAACAAAAATATTCGTTGTTAGTCCAGCAGAACCTCGTTTACCACTATCAATTGAAGTTGCTATGCGTCCAGATGAACTGAATGCTTATTTACCACATGCCAAGCTAGGCACACGTCTTGATAATCGTGTGATTGATTTACGTACACCAGCTAATCAAGCTATTTATCGTGTTGAAGCAGGCGTTTGTAAATTATTTCGTGATATACTTGATGCTAAAGGTTTTGTTGAAATTCATACACCAAAAATTATTTCAGGTATATTTACTGATTAGTTTTATGAATAAAAAAAAGTAAATAATTATGATCAATTTATAGCTGCATCGGGAGGAGGTGATATTTTATATCCAGTAACTTATTTTAAATCAACTGCTTATTTAGCACGATCACCACAATTTTATAAACAAATGGCAATTGCTGCTGATTTTGAAAAAGTTTATACGATTGGATCAGGTTTGTAATTTAATTATTCGATATTATTTTTTAATTCTTTATATTTTATTTTTTGTAGTTTTCCGTCCTGAAGAACTGAGAAAATTAACTGAATTTGTTAGTCTTGATCTTGAAATGGTATTTAATTATCATTATCATGAAGTAGTTGATACTATTGCTGATTTATTTACACAAATTTTCAAAGATCTTGCCAAACGATTTGCCACAGAAATCGCTATTATTAATAAACAGTTTCCATGTGAACCATTTCAATATGTTGAACCTGCTTTACGTCTTGAATATAAAGATGGTCTTGCCCTACTTGCTGAAGCTGGTGTTAAAATAGGTGCAGACGATTATTTGAGAACTGAAAATGAACGTATTTTAGGTCGTATTGTAAAAGCTAAGTATCATACTGACTTTTACATTCTTGATAAATGTCCATTAGCTGGACGACCATTTTATACAATGCCTGATCCTAATAATCCTAAATATTCAAACAGTTATAATATGTTCATGCGTTGTGAAGAAGTTCTTTCTGGTGCTCAACATATTCATGATTCTCAATTATTACTCGAACGTGTAAACCATCATAAAATCAATGTTGATCAAATCAAATATTATATTGATGCATTTCGTTATGGTTGTCCACCACATGCTGGCGGTAGTATTGGTTTAGAACGTGTACTAATGCTTTATTTAGGTTTGGACAATGTACGAAAAACTTCAATGTTTCCACGCGATCAAAATCGAGTTACACCTTAAATGATTATGATTTGTTTTTCTACTTTACTAATCATTTCATTTAACGATATAAAATATTAAAATCAAGAGTATGTTTAAGAAAGATCTTCTTTGATCAAATACATGTTGCGATGACGAAAAATGTGCTCATTAGTAGTAACATTGATCTGCTAGCACAACGCTTTCGATCATAAAATTAACAAATTTTCTGTAGAAGGTCTTGGAGTAGAACGCGATTATCACTTACAGTAACATTCTTATCTTGATGGCTAATGTGAAATTGATATGATTGATTTTTAATACTCTGAAAGATCTGTATTACTTTTTGATAAGCTTCGATGTTATGATAAATCAATTAGTAAATACTTAGCATTAAAGATTTGTGTTTATTTAATAGGTAACTATTTGAAGAAAAAAAGACGATGTACTCAATAACATTAGAGAAAAAAAGTTTTACAATAATCAGATATATATTGCGAGAGTGTGGTAACAGAATATCTACGTACTTACATTATGACAAATGTAATTAATCGTAATATTACTGTTTTATCAATTCACATTGATGTTTTTTTGAACTAACAAAACTCCGTATCAAATACTTCCGAGACGTTTTATGTGTTCAAACGAAAAACATGTTTAATGATAGAGTATTTCCTACAGATGAAATTCTATCTCATAGCAATAAATTGTAGTATGTCTCTACACCCCCAAGTCACAATATTCTGTATAAATTGACATACATATTAGTGCTAAAAAATGCACTTTTCATGTAATCAAAGAAGAAAATCCGTGCTTAGTTTAATATATGAAATATTTTTTGTTGATTGAAATCCGTACTCAATCTTATTTCCAAGTAAAAATGACGTTTGTTTTTCTTTTGATTAAGTTTAAAATAACATGTAAAAAGAAGACTATTGAATCTAAAACGCAATATGAGATATATGAGCTTATATTCATTGCGTGATTGAGTTTCTTTTTTTTTGTGTTCTTAATTTTATGCACAATGCTAGAAAAAAAGAAATGAATTTCATAGAAAAACAATCTCGATAAATTTGATTCTGATGTAAAACTATAAGTCTTCAGTTATTCATGTATTTAAACATCATGATAATTCCTTAGTATATAAAAACATCTAGACATAAATGATTTTTGTTACCAAAAAATGCAGTTTATTCTATGGTCGATATTTATTATTATATTAAATTTGACAAAAACGAATCAAGTCATTCTTCGATCTTCATTTAAACCTAAAAGTAAGAGTTTAGAAAAAATATCTTTGAATCTATTCGTTTTTATATATAGATTCAAATTCACTTTCTATTAAAAATAACTCATATGAAACATATTGTTCTTGGTTTCTTTATCCACCATGGAAACGTCGTAATGATCTTTTTAATGACAAACTATATAACAATTCAGGTAGTATTACTTTTCCATTAAGGATTCAATAGAAGAATAATAAAAGAAAAAAAAAAGGAAATTCCGATGATCGATATAGCCTTGATCGATACTATTAAAATATTCTAATTCTATACAATTTTTTTTATTTATTTATTTTTAGTAGAATATTTTAGTATTAATGAAAATGATTATATAACTAATAATTCGTATATAGAAAGTTCAAAAATAATCGCATGTAATGAAATTAATTTAACATTTTATTCGAAAATAAATAGTTTCAATAAAAATATAACTCTTAATTTATTTCTATACAAACAAAATTTATGGAATAATATATGGAAATATATGTACAATGATTCTCAATGGAAATTTCATCATCTTAAAATCGATCTGACAAATGAAACTGAACATATACAAGTAAATATTTTTAATCTCGATAAAAATAAAACAACGATCTTTTATTTTAGTTTCGATTTGCTCCTCTGGTATATTCTAATTTTAAAATCTCAATGGATATTACTAAACCAAATATAAATTGTATGTTTATTTTTTTGCTTTACTATAAAATAAATATTTTTATTTTAAAATAAGGTCAAAATAATACATCAGAAATAAAAAGTCAAGTATCTGTTCGAGGCAATTCAAAAGAACATTCATTCTTATTTGCTTTATTTGGTGGTATATTTTTACTTATATGTATTATAATTACAGTTATATTTATTTATGGTATTATTGAAAAACGTATTAATGTATGGACAAGAAGAGCATCAAGTAAACGTCGAAGAAAATTACGAAAAACAAGAAATGCTATTCGAGATGAATCAACAGTAATTAGTTTACCAGCAAATATGGATTAATTTATTTGTAAAACAAAAAAACTCTTTTCGTGTCTTGTTTTACTGTAATCATTGTAAACAGAACTGTGTATTTAGAGAGTGAAAACAAAATACTTTTGTTTTCTTTTTATGCATCGAACAATATATATAAATAAATGTCTATTACTTTTAAAATATTAAAAGCTTTACTTTGACCTCGATAACACTTATAAAATAAAACAATTCATATCTTGTATTCAATAGACTTCTATATATGTATATATTCGATACAGTAATTTGACCGTTTGGTATATATGTGTGTGTGTGTGTGTGTCCGAAAAGAAGGCGATGATTATTAATGTTTACTCGTTTGATTTCATCTGATATGTCTATATACATGCTCAGTTGTCGTTTATATCAAAGTGACGCATGTTGTTCATCTTTCTTTTGAAAAAGAAGAGACAACGATCAAAAGATTTTTCGTTTTTACTATATCATTTAAATCGAAAGTATCGATGCGTATTCATATAATACAATAATCTATCAATTCAATATCATTTCGATGTTAAATAAGTAAATGTCATTTATTATTTTTTTTCCTATCATTAAGTAATGTATTTTATCATTGAACAAAGAACTTAACATGTCTCGCATTTTTTATAGCCGATGGGCAGTTCTTTGTTCTTTGCCTTGCAGTCTCATATACAGAAGAGTACTTCGGTCATTTTTTTCCACTTATATGTATATATAAGGCTATTACTTTCAACGTACAAATTCTTTTTTTTCTTCTTCTCCTCCTGTTTCAATACAGGCACACACACGTCATAACGACGACAAGGTGTATATGTGTTACTTGCAGATGCACAGAAGCGGGCGAAGAAAAAAAAATGAGAGAAAGAAAGAACTGACCGGAAATTGAAGGGATACATACAGACAAACACCTTTATATGAACGATCATGTTTATATTGCATAAGCTTCTTTTTTTTACCATTTCTCTCATCAGTTAACATTAAAAATAGCTTTCTCTCTTCGATTTTAACATTCATATAAATAATATACTACATTAGCTTATGAAACATATGGTATCCTTCATCTAATCACCTAACAAACAGTTGAGTAGTCAGAGAAAAAAAAAAGAAGAAGATAGTGTATGAGATATACAATACACACACACAAAAAAACTTTTCTTTTCAGTTTACATGACTTACATTTATAGGACAAGACGTTATTGTATATCATCAAGTTAACGATAAATATATTTGACAGGTTTCTTTAGCGAGAAAAAATAGAAATATAAAAAGGTACTCCCTCGTTTTTTCTTTCTTTTTTTTATGCTTTATTTAGCATGTATTCTATCAGTCTGTTTTTTTTCTTATATTCGACATGAAGTTGCTAATGAAAGTAGACGATACGAGAAAACGTATGAAACAATATTTATCATTTATATTTCGATTGATTTTCTTTTTTTTTATTTTTGTATTCTAATCATGCGATAGATCTCTCTTGAATTCTTCTCGATCGTCTAATCTGTAGACTCACTGACATAGTATGATGGTAAAAATTCACTTATATTGTATATAGATTCTTCTTTCTATTCCCATTTTCTCCTGTTTTTTTTTGTTCCCCGACATTGTGCGTAGATTCTTCTCGGATCTCCGTCTTTTTCACCAGCCATTTTTCTTCTTCGGAACTGAAAAATGAAAATCGCGTCTTTCCCTCCTTCTCCTACCATCTCTCTCGTCTTTCTTATTCTCGTTCCCCTTTTGTGTTTAACTCTAATCATATGTGTATGTGTCGTAGACGCACACACACATATATATATATATAATAAGATCTCGACTACTTATCATGTCGTATTATTTTCAAAATAGATTTTAGATGCTGCTGTTGCTGCTACATCATCCTTATCACCATTATAGTCATGTCAAGGAAATAACAATTATTTAATTGATTGAACGTTTGCAATTTTCTCTTTTATTAAACAATGTGGAAGAAAATCAAAGAAATTCTTTCTAAGCATACTGGTAAGTTTTCTTTCTAATTATTTCTGTTGTTTCAATAGTAGACACAAACACACAGTTATTTTGAATGATGGTGCATATGTATACATCTGGTATTGCCTCACTATATATATATATTACATATGTTTTATATGTGAGATCATATACTAATGATTGACGTCGACGCGACGTCTCAAATCATATCATATACATACGATAAATGAGACAAGCATGAAAAGAAAAGAAAAAAAAAGAGATAAGCAATCTTTTCATTTATTCCATATACTTCTAATCAAATAGTTTGTTGAGACAAATAAAAAATAAGATGTATGTATATGAGCATCGATTTTCAATATATATATAAAAGCATGATCAATATTAGCCTGAAGAGGAAATGTTCGTACATATACATATCATGATCGAAATTATTTGACTAACTTTTATGTTTTGTAGACAAGGATCTTTGACCTTGTCCTTTTTTTTTCTAATATATATACATGTGTGTTTGTTAATGTCGAAAATGAAATTACGACATTTTATTCAAAATTGATATATAGTTGATTGACGGAAATCCGATATTTTTCAATCGTTTGTTAGTTCAAACAGAAGCAATCATGTGTTATTATTATTATTATTGTTATTATTTAGCTTACAAAGATGAATCAATGATTACATCGGGCGCCGCTACAACCGCTGCTTCTATTATTGACCTAAGGCTTTCACCAACTACATCAATACAACGAACGGAAACCGTTCATCATCATCATCACCAACCTTGTCGTAAATTAGGCAGTCATACTTTAAACAAGACTGATGAACATTGTCGTTCGTTATTCAGTCTTTTACCAACATCATTACGTTCTTATCATCGTCAAACATTGAATAAGAAAGGCATTGATGCTGTGAGTATATGAAAAAAAAAGAAAGAAAGAAGGATTTATGTATTGCGTCATATTGTCGTTGTTACCAATATAGTGACACATCATTCATCTATCATTAGTACATAGCATAGTCACTCCTTCGATGACAATCATTAGGACAAATTGACTTTTTTTCTTCTCCTTTGTACAATATGTAATTGCAATCATCACTATGAGCTGAAGAATATTTAATAGGAAATTAGATGATGTAATCATCATTAGCACAGACAAGTTCACTAGTATTATTATTATACATTATTTAATAGTTCGAACAAATAATAAATTCAATAAAGAATTTGCCTTTCTTTGTTTGCTAATCTGAATAAATGCATTTATATTCAACATTTTGCAAATGTTATTTTCTAAGATAATTAAAAACGATTCTATTGACCAATAGATTGATAAAAATTGTGCCGAGAAATTTTATACGCATATAATAACCTTCAGCATTTTTTTGTTAGATTAGACTCGTTGATAAAGAAGCGAAAAAAAAAAATACAAAAATAATAATTATTTACTGTAATATAATCTAAATCATATTGACGACGAAATGCATACAGATTTTTCCATTTTTTTTTGTTTCTGATGGTGACAATGTATGATCATCGCTACTCAATCTCTCATTCATCTGCATGCACATCACTCTCGAGGGCACATTTTATTCTTATTTTTCAACATTTGTTGTCACTCCGTTATTCTCGATTTTTAATGGATATTACACGATGAAGAGAAACAAGAGACATACTAGGCACATATCTTTCTCGTTCTCATTTGTCTCGCTCAGCAGAAGCTTAATTATTCATGATCAAGAATTTACATAGCAAGCACACACACATAACAGAAACTAGTTGGAATAAAAAAGACTCGAATGAATTACAAAAAGTACTGAATACTCTTTCTTTATCTATATAGAAGAAGAAAAAAAATGTATGTATTTGCACGTTTATATGTTATTATTACAATAGATCTTCTTTTCATTTCAAATTAATCATCCTAATTTTAGATTTTTTACATAAAATAAAAAAAAACCTTAATAGAAGAGACTAAAAAAAAAGAAACGAGTTCTTTCTTTGTTATTGACTAGCGGTAATCCGGAATAAATAGAATATATATAGAAAAAAAACGGATTTTTTTCCTAAAAAAAGGAAAGTACGTTCATGTTTTTACTTATTCTTAGTCAACAACAACACAATTATCTCCAACAATTGATATTATTGGAAGTGATTGTGATTCTGATTACATGTCCCAAATATTTCTAAATCGTACATCATCTTATGCATCATGTTATTCATCTATTCCAACTAATATGCCTAAAACAAACCTTAATCGAAATGGATCCATTGAAAACTTATTATATGGTCATTCAAAATCAAACCCGGCTAATGTCCGTGTAATTGTACGAAAAAATTTTGAACCATTTGCTCAAGCACATATTGCTGTTCGAAAAGGTAAAATAGATTCAATTCATCTTAGTTATATTAAAATAATACTTCAATAGATTAATTCTTATTCGGATCACCTGTTTTTTTCCGACATATTTCCTATAGGGTTTAATTATAAAGAAGAATAGAATAATGCTTTAGGCAATTTTTAATAGTCTTTTTTTTTACAATTGATAAGCTTTATGGATGTACACAGCTTCATCAGACTGAAGTTAATATCCTGACTGTCATTATCAGAAACCATAAATGCATGTCATAGATGTTTCGAGACATCATCTCTTAAAAGTTTTCTTTTTCCTAGAGATAAAAACAGCATGTGTTCTAAAAGTATTAAAAAAACTCGATTTTTCCTCTTGTCTTAGGTACAATAGTAACTGCATTATTTTCACGTGGACCATGGCTTTATATCCAAATAGATTTAACAGGAAAAACAGGTTACATTCCACGTATAATATGTTCATTATATCAAAATCAATTGCTCGTTAATAATCTTTCAATATCATCAACAGATTCATCATTAATCAAAGATGATGAAACAAAAACTGACAAATATTTAAATTATCCATCTAAACAACAAATCAATCGATATTTATCTCATAGTTCAGCAATAATTGATGATACGAAACAACGATTATCAAAACTTTATTTTGATGAACGTGAAAGACGTAATACATATACATTACCAATTTCCTCACGAATAAATTCGTCAAAAGATCGTCGTTTAACACTTAGTTCTATTAATTGTCCTGCAACAATAACGAAACAAGAATCAAGTAATTTAACTAATGATATAATAACAGTAATAACACGTGATACAGATTCATCAAGTACACAAGATTCAGGTTATTCAGATTCAACACCTTTTTTTCTCGTACAACAAGCAACACCTGAAAATGAACAATCACCATTATATTCAATAATAAATCTATCAAAAGTATGTATGACCTATATATTAAATTATCGCCTTTTTTTAATCATGAGGAAGAGAAAAAGAGAAGTAGGTCATATCTGAATTAGATTTTTGTTCTTCATCAAAATATGACGGAAATGTAATATTTCATATATGTTTATTCAACATCTTCTAAACTAATCAAAGATTACCGAATAAATGACATCATTCTAAGCTAAAAATCTTTTATATGATGGATAGTAATTTCCGGAATTTAAAAATCTATTTAACCGGAAGAAAAGAAAAATCGTACTACTAAAACATTGTTAATTCAAATTGAAGGTTGAAATGATCTCAAGCGAAAAGAACATTTCTAATTAAATGACTTTCTTTTGTTCATTCTAAAAATAACTTGTCATTAAAGTATATCGAGCGTTTTTTTCTTCTTATATTTATTAAGAAATCCAATGCAATACCACATTATGCAACTGTACGAAGACGTTCATCACTTCTTAAAGTTCCTGATCCAATAAAACCAATAAGTCAATCTCATATAAAACAAACTCAAAATCATCGACAAACACTTCTCAATGGTAAATCAATGAATGATATGATAATAAATGACTCAACAAAACGTCATTCATTTGGTGAAAATTTTAATACAAAAATTTCAACAACTAATTCAAATCGTCGTTTACCTGAATTTGCTCTTATACGAAATGTTCAACGAGATAAAACTCAAGTACAACAACAACAAAAAATCAAACCATCAATAAATAATCTACCTAAAAGTCATATACAAATTCCTGCTAGTATTTTTCTTAATCATCATCGACAAAAACAACAATTTGGTAGTTCACATAGTGCTTTTCGACCTGTTCAACCAACATTAAAACATAAACGAGCATCAAGTGAAGGACATTCACCATCAATATCAACATCATCATCACCACCACTAACATCATCATCATCATCATCATTATCATCATCGAATTCATCTATAAATAATGATTGTCAAACATCGAAACGAAGACGTTTATCAATTGATTTACCTGTGCCAATATTATCAGAATTAAAATCAAATAGTTTAACACGTTCTGTTTGTGATCAATCATCATCAAAAAATTTAAATCAATTTTCTCGTACAATGAGTGATATTCTATGCGATCAATTTAGTGAAATAAATATTGATGCTATTGAAAAAGACTCACTTGTTCATCATCATCAACCGAAAAAATTTCATAAATCACAGCATTGTCTATTTACAATATTAAAAGATTATCGAAGTTCACGTGCATCATTTTCAGTTAAACGTGGTGATTATGTTTATATACTTAAACAAGTTGGTCGAGCATGTTATCTTGTACGAAAACAAACTAATGGACAAATTGGTTTTATACCAAAAGCATTAATAGCACCAACAACATCCACACAAGTTGATACTTTTCTTAAAATGCATGAATATCGTGAGACAATCATTTAAAAATTTTTCAATTATTCTTAGTTGTGAAAATAGTCTTATTATTAATGTGTACGTTCTCTTCTTCTTCTTTTTTTCTATTCTTGTCTTGTTTTCTAGTCCTTCATCTTGTTTTGCATGCGTTTTATCTAACATTTTCTCATTCTTTGAACAATGTTTTTCTTTAACGAATTTAATGGGTATAACATACAACGAGATAACTCAGGATAAATAAAAAAAACAAAAAAAAAATTAAATATAGAAGTTTTTATGAATATTTCATCCAGTGTTGACTGATGTATGAACGACGAATAAGAGAACGGCCTGATGGTCTAGTGGTATGATTCGCGCTTCGGGTGCGCGAGGTTCCGGGTTCGATCCCCGGTCAGGCCCCTTTTTTTACTTCGACAGAACATTGATAATGAACTTTAAAGATAAGAAAAAAAACTCCAAATGTTATTCTCTACTTTACATGAGTACAAACTTGAATCTAAGTGCAAATTCTTTTATATCTTTAGATTTCAGTACAAAATTTTCGAACTGAATTGAAATTAAGTTTATCAATCTCCGTAAAAAACGTAACATTTCTATGAATAATCGATTTAATGCTAAGTTCTCAACGTGACAAATAACTGCGCAATAGAATACAATTCTAGATGTTTATCTAGTTTAATAACAACAATATTTGGTAAAAAATCATACACTGAGCGTAGTAAATTGCATTTACAAGGATTCCTCATTGATATATTAGACAAATCGAAAGTTTACATTACTTTCAACAATGTGATATACTAACTATTCGCAAAAATATAACTTTTTATTGAGATTGATGAGGATAACGGGGATATAAAATTTCTTCATTCTGATTTTTGAACTCAGAGCTCGTGTCTACATTCATGAAGACGTAATAATAAATCAAATTATTGATTTGATTTATTCAATTAAGAATATAAGATTATAATTTGCTGAACTAAAAGCTTGGAGTATTTTAGAAAGATTATATAAGTCAATAATAGAATTTGAATATTGTCAACATATCGTTATGCTTGTCTATCACAAATAAATACAGAATGATGAAAAGAACTCATTGATACCATAAAAGATTTAATGAAAAGAGCAATTGAAACTCGAACTTTTGATTGATTTTATCACGAAGTTCAATAATATTACCAAACATTCGTAATGAATATTCTACAGTATGGTTTCCTTTCTCAACTTTTATTATATCATGATAGACGAAAACGACTCAAACATTTGACATACGTGACTTACAATTAATTAGTTGTTACTATTGCTTGGTGCTCTTTGTCCAAAATCTGAATGATTCATTGACATCTGTTTTTCTATTGCATATAGTGACGACGATTTCTTTGAACTTTATCCTCAACGAATACTCATATTGACCTCTTGATACTCCTACTGATTTTATCTATTGTGCCATAAGAAGAAAAAAAAACGTTATTTCTATCAATTATAAAGAAGTATCACTTGACAATACATAGAAAGAAATGTGTATTGATATCTGTCGCATAAATCATTCTAATTGCATTTGCAATCACATTCTCTTCATAATAAATCAATGAAATTATTTATTTCGTAAATAGTACACATAAATTTTAAATAAATTATTCGATTTTTCATCCGAAAATTATGAATAATTTACTATTCTATGTATTTTGTTAATCATATCAATAATAATCTTTAATTTGCTATTTTATGATATTATTGATCCAATATATTAACCTTAGTTACAAATTCGTATGTTATCGGTATTTGTAAACGATATAAAACAGTCCAAGTAAATGTAACAGAAAAAAAAGTCACGCATAGTGAAGTTCAAATGAGTTTTCCGTTCTTCCTATATGCTTCACAATTTTAATTATCATAAATTGCTTTTACTTAAATATATATAACTCAACTAAGTATGGCACGTTCTACATCTTCATTTTAATTAATATATGAAGTCTAAAGTATAGCAAAATAGATCATGCGTTTTCTTCTGTTATGTATATAATAAACTGGAGAGAAAACTACTTGAAATAATATAGAATTTTCATTGTCCGATACCTTTAAAATAATCTGTTGGTATGCATAAAAATTTAGTAGTTTGTTTTCTCGATGTAAGGAATTCATTCATATAATCATTAAAGGGGAAAAGATACTCATTAGATTCATATCTTTTCAAGTAAGACAAGAATTAATTTCATTCTTATAAGCAGCTATATGCACAAAAGAAATCCTTAATCCTGTAGGTTTTATATTTCATTGTTTATTTTTCGAGATATATATATATATATCTACTCCTATTCAATTTGAGATTACTAGGTTTTTCAATTATCAGGAACAGACACACGTCATACATGATATATGTATATACAACATAAACGAAAGAAATTTTAGTGAAGATCGACTGTAGAGTATTAATTCTTTATCTTTAGTTTGCGCAATTTTTATAATAGTAGCTTTCAATAATGCTGTTCGTTTTGCATAGACTTGATGGAATTATCTAATGAATATAATAGAGCTATATGATTTGATTATAACCATAATCGAATATACGTTCAATTTACTTAATGTAGCTTATCAAAAACGATTAGTAATATTATTTTTAACTATATCCAATTTATTTAAATCGTTTGCCATGTATCTTTTTCGATTTTTGATTGTTAGTAGTGTAAGATTCCGTTCATAAAACGGTGCTTTGACTTGTCAGTCATATGCATCATAAAAAACAAAAATCTTTTTTTTTTGGAAAACAATAGTTGTAATCGAGCATTCTATATAAATAATCACTCATATAAACTATTCTATTTTGCTTTCTAATTAATTATTTTCTTTTTCATCTAGTATTTTATTTAATTAAATATGAATGATATACAATTGAAAGTACGCCATTCAATCTCTAATAAAACACATGAGAATAGTATTCATTAGATATTGTTATTTTTAGAATAGACTATTTCTATGACATGTTTTTAATTAAAAACAACCTTTCATCGACAAATCTAGGAAAATAAGAACTTCATTCTAATGAAAAATATAATATTTACTTTGAAAATCGCCTATTTTTCTATTAAACAAAAAAAGAAATATTTTTTTTCTATTTGCAAAACAACTACGCATGACATACTAAGTCATGCAGGTACATGTTGGATTCAATATTATATTGTTAAAAACACTTAATATGTTTTTTCCTGAAAATAATAGATCAATAAACATGACTTTATTGTATGTCATGTACTTTAATTGGTAGTTCAGTTGAATGATTATGTATTTTGTAATTTGTTTTGTCATGTTGCCCTCTATCATTGAAGAATGTGTGAGCAATGAGTTGTAAAGCAGCTTGTTTTTATGAACGCCTCTTTCAGATAGAAAAAGAATAACAATGACGTAGAAATGATGGATTGACGTCATCATCATCAACAGAAGAATAAAGTAAGGAATGCTAACGCCTACTTCTTTTTTTCTTCGGCGCTCTCTACTTACGAGTATATAGAAACATATTTTCTTCTTTTTCTTTTTTCGTCCGCCTACATATTATTTTGTCTCCGGAGAAAAAAAGGAACTAGTAATATTGATGAACGAAGACAAGTTCAGATGATAGTATTCACACGCAAGCATGCCACTCATTTTTTTACACATAAGTAGAAAGATGATGGTAATAGTCATAGCATGAAATTTAATATTCTTCCGCGTGGAAAAAGAAAACGGAAGAAAAAACAAATCTTATTTACGCAGTAGAAACCTTTTTTTTTTGTTCTATTTCGACGTTACATTTAGTTAATCAGACATATAACTTATAGATGTAAGTCTTTTTCTTTTAGAGATGACAATCGATAGTATATTGGAAGCATCAATGAATTCATTGTTATCAAGTAAGAAAAAAACAAAATTAATTTTTTTCTATATATTTAGTAATTCATTCTTACTTATAGATGATAATGAAAAGGATTTTGAACAATGGAAAAATACAATGTCAATTGAAGTTCGAATACCTGGTGGGTTATCTTCAGAAACTCGACAAAACTTATGGATTACCTTAGCAAAAAAATATATACATGATATACATCTCGATTGGGATAAAACTCGACAATTTGCATTTAATAATGAATCCTATCCCGAAGATGAACAATTAAATAATCAAATTGTTAAAGTAAATTTTAATAGAAAATTCAATCGAATTTATATTTATTTTTTTTTTGTAATTTAGGATTTACATCGAACAGGTTGTAATTGGTCAACAAATGAACATAATCGAACAATACTTAAACGTGTTTTACTTGCATTTGCTCGTTATAATAAATCAATCGGCTATTGTCAAGGTCTTCATATTTTGACATCTGTTATACTTGATGTTGTTAATATGAACGAAGAAAATGCATTAATGATATTAATTTATTTAATAGATTCAATATTACCAGATTTTTTTTCTAATAATTTACATGCATTAGCAATTGATATGACTGTATTTGATCAATGGTTAAAAATATATAATCCACAATTACATTTACATCTAAAAAATCTTCAATCATCATCAACGTCGTGTGATGATGATGAAGGAGGAAATTATGAACCACCTCTATTAAATGTTTTTACGATACAATGGTTTCTCACATTATTTGTTACGTGTTTACCAAGACAGGCAACATTACGTGTTTGGGATGCATTAATGATTGAAGGCAGTGAAGTACTTTTCCGTACTGGACTTCTTCTATGGTCAAAATTATCAATGTAATTTTTTTTGCTTTGATCTATTATTAACTTTTTTTTCTAATATTTTAGTGCTGTTTTAAAAGTACCAACAGCTGATCAATTTTATTCAGCTATGGGTCATTTATCTGTTCAATTATTAGATGAAAAAATTATTGTTGCTGATAATTTAATACAAGTAAGATTAATTAGAAAAAATAGAAGTTTAGTTTATTATTCTATTCTTTTAGGAAATATATAATCTTGGTCCATTTCCAACACCATTCTTATCGGAACTCCGTCAGAAATATTCATTTCAACAAACATCTGAAAATATCAAACAAAATCAATCAAAATCAAAAGTAAGATAAATGGATATTGTTTGAAGAAGATTTCTAGATGAGATACTAATGTTTTACTGTCATTTCATATCCCCCAATGATTTATTGATTGACAATGTTAAATGTTCTTGTCTGTCATAAATGATATATATTTTTTCTTTATTATAGGATCTTAAACGAATAAAAACAAAATTAGTTGACGAAGATATTGTTAATTTTATATCTTGTTTTGCAATACTTTCGTCACCATCATCATCATCATCACGAACTAATCGATGTAAGAAAACTTTCCAATGTTTTATATTAGCGTTTTTTCTCCTAATTGAATAGTTGAATCAATATCGAATAAATCAAATTCTCCGGATGTAAATCAACTACGACAACAATATAAAAAACTTAAACAACGAAATAAAGAAGTACAGATTATTACTCAATGTAATTCATGTTTTTTTTCTCTTGATTATTCAATATAAATTTTCTTTTATTACATAGCTTCAAATACACAACGACAAAGTCCATCGGAATCTTTATGTTCGATATCGAATGGACCCTTGGTAATTAATATCTTATTTTGAAAAACAAGAAATTATATATTCTCTTATATATATATATAGGTAAATCATTTACTTGTTAAATCAACAGATATAAAACGAAATCAAGTCAAAAAAAATGTTTCCACTAAATCCTCAACAAAAGAAGATCCAGAAGAATTACAAGAAGAAATTGAACAATTATTAACATGTCTTCATCCTGAAAAACCACCACCAACAGCAATTTGTAAAGCTATACAAAAGAAACCATCATCAGATAATTATATCGATCGTCTTGTTACATCTCGATCTGTACAAATACCTAAATATTCATCATTTAACCCATTTCCATCTCGATCATATAATGAAAATGTAGCAATGAATGGATATAGACTTGGACTATATTCACCTATTGTCACAAGTCGATAAAAATCTAAAATAAATGTCTTTCATAAAACAATTAATCTTTCCTTGTTGTAAATTATTTATTTTTTCTTTTCTTCTCATCGTATCTATTTTATTTAAAAAAAAACAATATTTGAAAAATCGTTATTTTTATTGTTAATATCAATATTAAAAAAGATTTATTTTATGAATAACAATAAATAATAAATACACCTGATAGTTCTTTTTTTTTTATTATTTGTCTTTCTTCATTTCTCATCTATATATGAGATTTATTTATACTGCAAGGTTATCGGTATTGTTTTTCAATAGAAATCTAACTTTGCAAGGTAAAAGTAAATAATCAAACAAGAAAAAAAAAAAACGAGAATTTTTTCCTCATTGATTATTAAACTAAACAAAAAATAACAACAGTAAGAAAAATGAGAAAAGAAGAAAAACGAATTGCACATATTTTTTATATTCAAAAAAATAAAATAAAATTTTTCCAAATATTATAGAAATTGATTCGTACATGTCTGAATTCACCTGATACGATTTTCTATCGACAGCATAATATTAAGTGGTATTTTTTTTCTTCATCTTAGATGTATGTCTATAGAAATTCTAGATGTGTAAAAAGAGAGAAAAAAAAATTTCATTTTGGTTGTCGTAAAAGAAGTAATGTCATAGCTGCATCAACAACTTCAACACTAGGTCTTGCTGATAAATCATTTTTTGAACGTTGTTTTTTTCTTTTATTATTATTTGTTGTTTCTTCTGATGAACCAAGATAATTGATAGTTTTATCTCGTTTACGATTATTTAATGGACAACTATTTTCATCATTTGTATGACGAATTAAATCACGTTGTCTTTCCGAACATAAACGTTCAAATATATTTATTGTATATTGTGTTGTTAATGATAATTGTCTTGTATTCATTGTTAATAATGTATCAAGTAACAGTAAACGTTTTGAACGATCAGTTGTCCATAGTGGATAACGTAGTTTTGTTCCATTTATTGGATTTTTAATAATTTTTACAAAAAATGAGATTTGTTTTGTCATATGATAACGAATTTTACTTTTTAAACGAGCACTATGAAGTAAATGTTCATCTGTTGAAGATACTAAAGTATTTGTATTATTATTTGTTAATGATTGTTCAATATGATGTTCAATCCAATCACATATTTCATTTAAAGTTAATGTACGAGATTTAGAATCTTCAATAGCAAATAATATCCAAAAACATAATGCTGAATGTGGTGGTGAAACATTATCGGCTGCTGTTGTTGTTGTTGTTACACGTTCACTTGAAGAATTTAATGATGATGAATCATTATCATGTTCACTATCAGATGAATCAATAAGACTTGGTGGAGGAGATGAACGATGACGATGTTTATCTGTAATATAACATGGTAAACTCTTACTTAATATAGGTACAGGATTTGTTAAACGTGATGATGGTGGACGATCAAATATATCTGATTGTGTTAACCATGATAATTCCGTAAGATCATGATCTGATTGTTGTTTTAATTTAGTTGTACGATAATGAGCTAACATTTGTCTGAAATAAGAAGATTTTATTTATTATAAATTCAATAGAATATATCATATTAATTGACATGTCTACTTAAATATGTCTTTTTCTATTCTAGCTGGATAGATATAACAAAGACGTAAAATATGACATATGTACCCGTAAAATATAGAAAACTTTTTTTGATACTTAGACAAAAAAAACATAAATCTTCTACTAATCTATAGGATTATTCTTACGTACAAATATATATGTATATAATAAATATCGATAGTGATCTGTGTTGTTCTTTTGTGTCTTTATGCTTGTAAAGTCAAAGAAAAAACTATATGAAAAAAAAAAAAAAAAGAAAAGAAGAGAAGTGCATACAGAATCAAGAAGTAGAGGGTGAATGAGTGAGTGAGTGAGAATAGTAGTAGTAGCGTTGAGAAGGAGGAGACAAAGACGAAAAAGAGAAGAAGAGAAAAGAGGTGAGAGAGAAGTGGATTGAATCTTTCTCGCAGAGTTAGTCGTGAAGGTATGTGTGTGTGTGTGCCCGTCGAGAAGAAAGAAGAGATAGACGACGCACAACGACAAAGTAATACTGGTTAAGAATGAGAGAACTATTGCTTAGCAACACGACATCTGTCTTCTACTTCTTTTCTCAGTATATAGACGCATTTACTCCTATAAACCTATATATCTCGTGACATCAGGATGAAAGATGAACGAAGAAAAACAGAGAGAAAAAAGGAGAAAAGGATATATATTGGCTTCCTCATTTATATATATATATATGTTTGACTGGCTGCGCAAAAATTGAGGAAAAGAAGAAGAGAAAATGATCTCTTATCAAAACTAACATCATAAATATAACTATATATGATATTCTTTCATTAATAATCTAGAAACTACGAGAGAGAGAGAGAGAGAGAGAGAGAGAGAGAGAGAGAGAGAGAGAG